TAATAGACATGAAACATTAAACAAGAAATAACATAGTTGTAATGGGGGACCTTAATACCCCATTGTAACAGACAGATCAACTAGACAAAAATTCACCAAAGAGCCAGGTGTGGTGGCTCACGCCTGTAATCCCAGCACTCGGGAGGATGAGGTGGGAGGATCATTGTGAGTTGGAGACCAGCCTGGGCTACAAAGTGAGCTCAAGGCCAGCATGAACTGCATAGCGAGACCCTATCTCAAAAAAAGACAAAAAATTCACCAAAGAAATAACAGCACTGAACCAAACATGTGAACAAATGGTAGATATTTACAGTGTTCCACCCAACAATATCACAATAACACTCTTCTTAGAAGTGGAATAGTCTTTAAAATAGACCATCTACTAACTCATTTAACATGCATAAGTAAATGCAAAGAAATTGAAATTATCCGATGCATATTATCTGACGATAGTGTACTGAAATTAGAAATTAATAGCAAAAGAAACTGCAAAACCTACATAAACACATGGAAATTAAGTAATATCCTTCTGAACAACCAATGGGTTACAGGTGAAATTAAGAGAAAAACAATATCTACAATTAAATGAAAATGCAGATACAACATACCAGAACCTTTGGGATGGAAGGAAACAGTTCTAAGATGGAAATATATAGCAGTGAATTCTCACATAAGTAAAACAGAACAAGCATAAATAAACAACCTAATGCTGTATCTCACATATCTAGAAAAACAAGAGCAAATCAAAACCAAATCTCATAGAAGGGAGGAAATTACAAAATCAGAGCAGAAATAATGCAATTGAAACTTAGAAAATAATACAAAAATTTAATTAATTAAAAAATTATTTCTCTGAGAGAATAAATAAAATTGATAAACCCATAGCCAACCTTATCAAAAAAGGAAATAAAAATTCAAATTCATTCAATGAGGAACGAAAAGGGTGAAATCACTACAGACTCTGTAGAAATACAGAAGATCATCAATACTGACTTCAAAAATCTTTACTCGTGTAGGATGTAAAACATGGAACAGATGGAGAGATTCCTAGAAACATATGAATTACCAAAACTGAATAGCCCAGTATCAGTTAATGAAATTGAAAATGTAATTACAAACTTACCAACAAACAAAAGCCCAGGTCCTGATGGGTTCACAGTTGAATTCTACAAGAAATTTAGTGAATTTAATGTCAATACTCCTTAAACTCTTTAATGAAACTGAAAGGGAAGCAATAATCCTTCACTCATTGCTGGAGGCAAGTATTACTCTGATATCAAAACCAGAGAAAGTCCCAACCAAAAAAGAGATCTACAAGCAAATCTCCCTACTGATTATAGATGCAAAAATCTTCAAATAAATACTAGCAAACAGAATGTAGCACATCATCCAGATTATACACCATGACCAAGTGGGATTCAACCCAGGAATTCAGGAATGTTTCATCATATGCAAATTAATAAATGTAATACACCACATCAACAGAGCCAAAGATAAAATCACATGATCATCTAAATAGACACAGAAAAAGCTTTTGATAAAGTCCAACACTCATTCATGATAAAAATTGAGATAGATGATCTCTATCTCAATCTGATGAAAACCATCTATGACAAACCAACAGAGAGCATCATACTAAATAGACAAAAACTTAAAGCTTTCACTTTAAAATCAGGAACAAGACAAGGATGTCCACTATCACCACTCTTATTCAATGTGGTTCTGGAAACAGCCAGAGCAATTAGACAAGAGACAGAAATAAAGGAATAAAGATAGGAAAGAAAGTTAAATTATCATTATTTGCAGATGACATGATACTCTACATAGAAGACCCAAAAAAATCTACCAAAAACTTTAGGTTTGATAGGCTAATTCAGTAATGTAGTTGCATACAGAGATAGCACTCAAAAACAATAGCATTCCTCTACAAAAACAACAAAATCCCTGAGAAAGAAATCAGGAAAGCACCAACTTTCACAATAACCTTCAAAAAAAGTGAAATACTTTGGAATAAAAGCCAACAAAGGATGTAAAAGATCTATACATTGAAAATAACCATACTCTAGAAGGGGAGATTGAAGAACACATGAGAAAGTGAAAGATATCCCTTGCTCATGGATAGGAAGAGCCAACATTGGCTATACTTCCAAAACAGTTATACAGACTTAATGCAATTCTGATCAAAATATCTTGGTATACCTCACAGAACCAGAGAAAACATTGCAAAAATTCATTTGGAAACAGAAGACACCTAGAATAGCAAAGCCAATCCTGGACAACAAAGGCAAGGCAGGAGGCATCAAAATCTCAGATTTGAAATCATACTACAAAGCTACTGTGATAAAAATCATCATGGTGCTGACAGAAACACAGGCCTGGGGATCAGTGGAACAGGTTAGAAGAGGAAGACACCACTGCAAATACACTCAGTCACCTTCTCTTCAACAAAAGTGTCAAACAGGTCCAGTGGAAAAAAGATATCATCTTTAATAAATAGTGCTGGAAAAACTGGCTGTCCACATACCAAAAACTAAAATTATACCCATGTCAATCACCACACTAAAGTCAAAATGGATCAAAGGTCTAAATATTAAAACAGAAACATTAAATCTGCTGGAAGAGAAAATAGGTAAAATTCTTAAAGACATAAGTGTAGGCAGGAAGTTCAGGCGTAAAATCCAAATTGCATGGGAAATACTTACAAACAATCAACAAATGGGATCTCACCTTATTAAAAAGCTTTTGCATAACAAAGGAAATCACCAACAGAGTTAAAAAAAATCCCCACAGAGTGGAAAAAAAATTTAGCCAACTGTTTCCCAAGCAAAGGACTTCTATCAGAATATATAAAGAATTGAAAAATATCAGGCCCCCCAATTCAAAGACCCAATCCAAAAATGGGCATCTGAGATGAATACACACTTCTCAAATAAAGAAATACAAATGACAAGTAAATATATGAAAAAATGTTCTGGAAACATTTTTGTCAACATCATTTATCATTTGAGACATGCAAATTAAAATAACACTGAGATTTCGTCACACTCCAGAAAGAATGGCAATCATCAAGAAACAACTCATAACAAATGCTGGCAGAGCTGTGGGGAAGAAGGAAGCCTTTTCCACTGTTTGTGGAAGTGTAGACTGGCAAATCAGTATGGAGATTTCTGAAAAAAACTAGCATTGGAGGTCCTATTTGACCCAGCTCTTCCCCTTCTGGAAATTTTCCCAGAAGAATTAAATACATCATACCACAGTCATCTAAGGGCAACCATGTTTATAGCAGCACAATTTGTAGTACCTAAATCTTAGAAATGACCAAAATGCCCATCAACTGAGGAATGGATTTTTTAAAATGTATTTTTACACAGTGGAGTACTACTCAGTTATAAAGAGGGATAAACTCAAGGCTTTTACAGGTAAATCGATGCAACTTGAGATTGTACTCATAGGCGAAATAACTCATACTTGCATGTATAAACATTGTATTCTCTCCCTCTCAAAAAGTAAATAAGACTTAGAATGTATAATAGATACTGTGAAAGGGGAAGAAACTGCTCAAAATGAAAGAACAACTGGGATGGGAGACAGGAGAAAAGAAGGAAGAGAAAAAAAAAAGAAAAAAATATATAGTAACTACGATAATTTACTACTAATTTGTATTAGCTCATTGAAACGAACAGTCTGTGCTTATATTATTTGATCAGTTTTTCATGCCTATATCTTGCCTAATCTGAGTAACTACTTTGAAGATAACAATATACAATATATTAACCAGTGTTAATCTCCTCTTACCTTGCTTTTAAATTCTCTATTGTTTTACTACTGTATTTTAAAGTAAAAAGTAAATAAGACAAAATAAACTCACACTCCCATAGAATGGTCATTACAGTTATCAAAAGTATCGTTTACAGTGACTTTACAAGAAGAACACTCTACAGAAATCATTTTTTTTTTAAAAAATCCAGTACTAGTAACACAACCCAGGGCTTCCTGCATAGGCTGCCACTCTAACACTGAGCTATATCCCAGTCTTTTTTTATTTATATCTTATTTTCTATTATTTCTTTTCTGTTTTATTGTTTTCTTTTGAGAGAAGATCCTGCTAAATTTTCTACTTATCTCCAATTTATAACCCTCCTGCCTTGGGTTCCTAAGTAGCTGGGATTATAAATATGCACCAGTATGCTTATGTTATATCATAGATCTTAATTCTGGGACTCAGGACTCTAGTAGCAAGCAATGAGAGAAACTCTGACTCACTTAAGCAGAGGAAGGAGTTTATTAGAAGGCTATATGATATTACTTATAGATCCTCAGAGAAAGTTGGGAGAAACAAAACAAAACAAAACCAAACAAAACAGGTTTTGGAAGGTACTGGGACCAGGGAGCAGAGAGCAGAAACAGATAGACTTTGGGGTCACCCAAACCAAACAAATTAACTTCATTTAATTTTAGTCTCTGCCTCACTTTTCTCAAATTTAACTTCCTGGGAGAAAGAATCTGGTTGGTCATAAATGGAATCCAAAGAGATGTGAATGGTATTGCAGTCAGCTAGAGGCAACAGAGCATCCTGACCAGCAGTCCTAGAAACCTTATAATAGGAGAAGGATGGTTTACTCAGAAACCAGAGGACTGACTGCCACCAGAGAGGGGCTAGACACTGGAGAGGCTCCAAGGGTTTACTCTACACAGAACTTCTGGGCAGTGGGTAATGGAGGAATCCCTCAGGAACTGAGTCAAAGTGGTTTGCCCAGAAGCCATAGTTAGTGACAGAAATTAAACTGTTTGTTCCTTTGTTTGTTTTTCTTTTAACAGTATCAGGGTCAAATCTAGGGCTTTGTGCATGCTAGGCAGGCGCTTTGTCATTCAGCTGAATCCTAAGCAAGAAATAAGACTTTGTGACTCCTACCAGCCAAATGGGAATTTTTCCTTCTTTTTTCCAGCTTGCTGAGAGCAGTGATTCAGAAACCTGGCAGTACACCAAAATTACCTGTGGAGGTTGTTAAAAATAGAGGAAGCTAAGTTTGGCATGGAGCTGGGGCATCTGTATTTTTAATAAATATCTTACCTGTTTATAACCAATTTGGAAGTCCACTACACCAAGGTTCCATAGGATCTGACATAAAGAAAAAATATAGTACACATAAAAAGGGAATATGATCGTTTTAGAGAGAAGATTCAAGTCTGAAGATAAAATGTTTTCAGGTCCATTGTGTTGGGTGTCTTCACGGTTGGGATTGAGAATGTATAGGACAGGGAGAGCTCTCTTCCTGTTTAGGGCAAGTCTGGGCCAAGTGGATCGGAGAGTTACACTGTTAACACTAAAAAGCATCTCCCCTGAGCCCTGGAAAGAGTCAGCGGGGGCCTTCCTGGGGCAGTCCTGGCCATCTACAGTACTGAAGGGGAAAGATCAGTTTCTATAAGCAGATTACCGGAGTGCTAAGATCTGGAACACAAAAAAGGGATGGAAATAGGCCTGAGCTGGCATAAGCAAGACAAGGATCTGTTACATTATCTTTTTGTCTCATCACAGCTGATAAGATAGGCTGGCCTACATCTCTTAACCAACTTGGAAGATGAAAGAGAAGGGAGAAGGCTATTTCTCTCCCAGGACCCAGATGGCTCCACTCTTTACTGGCTACTTCTATCCATGCTTAAGTCCTTGACTGTAATTCTCTTCAGAAAAGCCCACCTGACCACCAAGTCTCAACTTGGGTCTACCTGTCTTCTCTTGGGGACACTAGTTCCTTCTTCTCTAGGGCTGGCTTTATGTAACTCATATGACATTGCCATCACATAGGACACTTGGGAGGATTCCATGCTTGATTTTTTAGTGCTCTGGTCACAGCATCCTAAAAATTGAAACAGTTTTTGAACTGGAGTCCCTCCACTTTCATTTTGTGTGGGTCCTGGAAATTAATACCACTTGTTCCATTTCACTTCCTTAAACTTGGCACTATTTACCTGCAGTTGATAAGTATTGTCTGAATATTTGAAGTGAAGGTTATTTGACTTTTTTTGACTTATAAAAAAGCAAATTCGGGGCTGGGGATTTAGCTCAGTGGCATAAGCACCTGCCTTGCAAGCAGGCAGTCGTGAGTTCGATCCCCAGTACCGATAAAAAGGAAAAAGACAAAAAAAAAAAAAAAAAAAAAAAAAAGCAAAAAAAAGCAAATTCATATGATTCAACATAAAATACTCTGGAAAAATGAATGAATGGGTAATGGTAGGAAGGAAGATGCTTTGGAAATGGTGAGTTGTTGACCTGTATTTACTTACTCACCTATTTCCTCCCTGATGAAATCCCAATTATGATCAGGTATCTGCTTTCCTCAGTGAGTTGGTGGAGGTGGTCCCATTTTTGATTCTAGGGTAGATCACGTTCAGCCTGCATTTTCACTTTTATAAGAACGTATTTTCCTCTTTCTCTGGACCTTGTCAGGTTTGAAGATGACTCCTGGAACAAGTCATCTTGATGTCATTCTGACAGCTCAGTCAACAACCAGCAGAACAGAGTCGAGAAAATTGCAGGAAAGCAGCATGTGGCTATGTTGTGGACAGAGCCTGCTCTGTGTCTGAGGTTTCTATCATGTGAGATTATAACATTTCTGTGTTGTTTGTTCTGATTATATATTGCCATGAAGCAATTACCATGAAATGAAGTAGCTTAAAACAGCATCTATTGTATTATATTTCACAATTCAATAGGTCAAGAAGCCAAGCAGAGCTCAGCTAGGTGGTTCCGTGTCTGATCCACTGGAGTTATTTACTGATATTTACAAACTAGTCTTTCAGGTCTGAGATAGGTGCCTTCACCCATTTGGCACCTTAGCAGTGATGCCCAGAAGTCTAGGGTTAGCAGAGTACACACACACAGCCTCTTTATCATGAACATTTCCCCTTCTTACAAGGAGTACAAAGAGGCAAGAAGTGGGAGCTACCAGACTCTTAAAGCCAGCCGTATTCTCTGGGTAAAAAAAGTCATGAAGCCCGCTCAGCTGCAAGGGGAGAAGACGTAGAGTCTTACCTTGGTAAGAAAAGTTGTGAAGAGTACAAGGCTGTCTTCAGTCCCCCACGTTACTTAGGTTAGTTGGACACCGGTCTTCTGTTATTTACAGGGATTAAACACCTGAAATAATTAAAATAAATCGAATGTTGTCTGAAAAGATGTTGCTTCGTATTTCTTTAATACGAAGGTCCAGAAACTCTCTGCAGAGGGCCAGAGAATAAATATTTTAGGTCTTATAGGCCACAGGGTCTCTTGGCCTTGCTCAACTCTGCCAGTGTGACATACAATCAGCATGGAAAATACATAAATGAATGAACATGGCTATGTTCCAATAAAGTTTTTATTTATGAATCACTAAATTTTGAACTTCATACAACTATCATGTTTTGTTTTTCAGCCATTTAAAAATATAAAAACTATTTTCAGCTTGTAGGCTGTCCAAGAAAAGCAGCGAGCCTGGATTAAGTCTCCAGGCTATATTTTACTAACCTCTCCTGTGGCATAGCATTTGTTGCAGACTCAGGGCCTTTGCACATACTGGCCTTTTGCAGTTCTCTCCTAGGTATTCACCATCCTTTGTATACTCTCCTCACTGGGTTTTAGATCAGCCTCCTCAGAGCAGCCTTCTCTGGTAACTATTAAATACTGTACCTCTGAAATATATTACCTCCTTATATTTTTTGATGGTACTAATATTTTTTAATAGTGCTATGGATTAAACTGAAGACTTTTACACTGAGCTATATCCCAAGGCCTTTTAAATTTGTATTATGATACAAACTCTTGCTAAATCATCAACTTGGCCGGATAGGCCTCAAACTTACGATCTTTCTTCCTAATCCTCCCAGGATACTGGGATTACAGGCATATGTCATCCTGCCTGCCTCACTATATGTAAAATTTCTTTTTTATCTGTTTACATATTTTTTGCTACCTCTTCTTTAGTTTCCCTAGAAGAAACTAATCTGAGTACAAAGGGGAATTTGCCCATTGTATACACCTCTGTAAGTTCATTACCTAGCACAGTGCCTGGGATGTAATACAAGATTAAGTAAGTGTTGAATCTACCATGGTTACAACTCAGTTCTCCAAGGCTTGACAAGAATATAAAAGGCTACTCAGTTTATACTTCCTAGATAAGAGAAAGATAACAAGAGCATAAATGAAGTCGTTACCTGTACTGAGAGAAGCTTTGGTCCCTTTGTTATTTTCCCATGTTTGAGGAGAAGCCAAAGGAAAAATTTGCTACTTACATAATTCTGAAGATGGTTATTTTTCTTCCTTGGCAGATATGAATGGATTGTCCTGCCTGTGTAGAAGCAGTAGACTTTGGAACCACCCGTATCTGAGGAGGGAGCATGTCACTGAGAGGTTCTGATGAATTTGGAATGAGAAGCTGGCTCAGACCACTAAATTATGTTTTAACAGGAATTTCCAGGATCTCTGGAAGGGAAAAGCAAATGTCCTGGGTGGCACGGCAATAACAGAGATAGCACACTCGGAAAGATCATCAGGCCGAGGGAGGAAAAGCAGGCAACAGCAGGTAGGACATTCAGGACCAGAAGGCTCCAGCTTGCACAGAGTGTACCTGTGTGATGCTGGGTGAGGGCCAGAGCCCAACGATGTGGCATGAGGCTTTCCAAGCCAAGGGGCAGAAGTGGCTTCCATCCATCCCTGCCTCTATTCCAAGAAACAAATTGGCAGGATAAAAAAGAACCACGGTAGGAGATAAGGATGAACACGGAATGTCTGTGGGAAGCAGCACGGTGCACTGTGCAGGCTCATTTGAGCAAGTCAGGTTAGGAACTAAGCCCTGGAACAGAAAAGCACAAAGCAGAAGCAGAGAGTGCGGCTGACTTGAAATTGCTGGGCACAGTGTGGAAGGCACAATAGGAGAGTCGGGAATAACTGTGACTTTGGACCGCTGACTGCCTACTTACGGATGAGGCAGAAAGAGTAGACATGAAATTACACTCCTCATCTGGACTTTTTGATTAGAAGTGCTGGGGAAGGTAACAGAACTTTACCAGAGTTTAAGAAAGAGAATTTAAAAGTTTTAAAAGATGTTGAAGAGAAAGTGGTAGAGTAGACATCACAGCCAGTGCCAAATACAGCCTGTCCAGGACCTGGAATTGAGACTCCTGGAAAACAACAACTTGAAGAGCAAGAAAGAAGTGGAACCATGAGAACTGGGAAGGAGCTGATAGGAAAGTCAGAAAGCACCGGGAAGCTGGAAAAACAGAAAAGCATGAAGCTGTCAGAATGCTCACCCTGCCTCCTGGGAAGAGGGACCTATCTCCACAGACATAAGATAAGCCTACAGAGCATCAGCAGCTCCAAGGAGGAGCAAGAAACCAGGCAAGCAGCGCTAGCCCCAAGGAAGAAAGCCTATGGCTATTGCAACGCTGCAAAGGAGCGCTGTGTTTCACTCTGAAAGTGACTCCTTCCCCAAGGCAGCCTGCAGTTGAAGAAGAAATCCAGCGCACCCACCATATTGGAGAGGGGTTACCTACCCTCTTTGAAAAGGTTAACTCAAGAGCCACTTTGAGAAAGGTTTGTTTAAGACTAAACCACAGAGTAACTATAGGATACTATACCCTGAATATCTGGTGGCACCGAACCACAGGACTGGTGGGAGGCAGACACAACAGACAGTTGCAGAGAGTGTGTAGACTAGACACAGACTCCCTGAGAAGTTTAAGCTGATGCCAAGAAGGATTTAGGGGGCACCATTCCCTGTGGTGAGAAGTAAAGCTTGTCGTGTGTGGCTTTCAGAGGGAGCTGGGTCTGAAAGCTCTGACAATTAAGTCCAACAGACTGATTGACAGCCCCCTCCCTCTCCCACTGCTACTCATCATGAGCAAGGGTATGGCTTAATTTAGACAGTTGCCACAGCCTGGGGTGTGTGGACACAGGGGCCCCTGGGACGGGGTGGGGGTGGGAGCTACTTCACAAATGCACAGGCCATAAAGCCAAGGAGAGACAACCGTGACTCTCCAAAGTGGGCGTTAAGAGACTGACAACAGCTGTGGGGTGGATACTATTCACTGAACATGCCTGGTGGGAAAGGCATAATGGAATTCTGCATTCACACACAAAAATGTGAGTATTTAAACAAAACAGGTTTACCAGTGACTTACACATGTCTGCCGGATCCAAAACTACAGGCCCTGGAAAGAAACAACTTCTTAAAAAATACAAAGGAATTTTTTAGATTAATATCTTTTTTTCTTTACTTCTCTTCCCTCATTGGTTTATTGGGCCAGTTTGGGCGGTTTTTTCCCCTTCAACTTTTTCTCCTTCCTTCTCTTATTTTTCTTGTTTGTTATTTTCTGTTACTTTAATTCAATTAATTTCCTTTTACTCCTTAATATTCTTCATTTCACTTTTTTTTTTTTTTGTACCAAGAATCGAACTCACGACTGTGCATTTGCAAGGCAGGTGCTTGTACTGCTGAGCTAAATGCCCGGCCCTTCATTTCACTTTTCTAACCTCCTTCTCTTCCTTATTTTTCAAATACTTTCATTCTGTTCCCCACCCCACTATCTTTACACGTCTAACCATTAAGCTTTATCAGTCATTATTTAGTTCACTCTGTGCTATTACTCTTGAGTTCTTTTCTATTGTTAGTGGAGCTACAGTGGTTACATTTAATAGGTATTTACTGTATGTTAATATTTGCTTTGTCTTTATGTTTATGCTATAATTATAGAGCTCTTTTCTTCCAATAAGGGTGGTACATTATTGTATGTCAGCCTCCGGTGTGTCTTTGTTGTAACTGTCAGAGTGGCATAGTTGTTGCTATTGATTATTTTTCTCTGTATGCTAATATACGGATTGTGTTTGTGTCATTAACAACACTGTGATCCATTCCCAAAAACTGGGTCCTGGGCCAGTTATACTGTACCTTTCCCTGCCAGATTAACAGAGGAAGTTGGAGCGTGTGACAGGGCAAAGGCCTATATTTGGACATACCCAGAATGCATCACAGACAAGCAGAGTCTAACCACAGAGATCTCCATATTAGCAACAGAATCTTTCCACTATAATCAACCTGCAAACCTCAGTGCATACACGTGCGTGGGTGCACACACACACATACACACATATCTTTAAAAAAAAATAGACACATGAGAAGATAAGACAACAAAATGCCTCCAAGGATTCATAACTCCCCCAAAGCTGATCAATGGGGTCATCAGTGGAAAGGAAATCAAGGGGCACATGTATGAGTTAAAATGATTAAAGAACAGATTTTTAAAAAAATATTAATAAGGTGACTTGGAAAGTTCACCGAAGATATAGCTAACTAAATAATAGACTTAATAAAATGATCCATGAATTTACAGAAGACACTAATAAAAAACTAGCTGAGCTACACCAAATGATACAAAATAGTTTAGCAAAGAATTAGAGTCCATGAAAAGATACCAAGCAGAAATCCAGAAATTCTATTGAAAGTATGGGCAGCAAAAGTGATCAATGTGAGTTGGGCATGGTAATGCACACATATAATCGTAGCACTTGTGAGACAGGGCAGAGGATTGCCATAAGTTCAAGCCCAGCCTGATAGATAGTGAGTTTAGGCCACCCTGAACTACTAGTGAGACCTTGTCTCAGGAAAAAAAAAAAAGGATGACCAATGTGAGGACAGTGTTAGAACTGAAAGATGAGGTTGATACTGGTAACCATATATTTAGAGATACTTTAAAAACAAGAGAACATTAAAAATGTATAGCTGCTAGACGACGCAAAGAAGACTTTTTAAGATTATAGTAATATGTCAGGTTATTAATGCTTTCATTTGCAAACAATTTGATTAACAGGTAGAAGCATTTGGCAAAATTTTGCTTTTGTTTGCACACATTACAGTGGGTAACAAACACAACCCTGGCCATCTTTCCCAGAATTGTAAAATAAATTAAGTTCTTTAACTGAGGTGCCATTGTAATTAATTAGAATTAGTGAAGAAACAAAAGCGAATACAAATGGCATTTAGAAAAATCTGTTTATAGAAGGAGTAGCAGAAAGCTTTCCAAACATGGGGAAAGAATTTAACACACAGACAAGTGAAGCACTTAGAACCCCAAATGGCCACAATCAGAAAAAGAACTCTTCCATGACATATTATAGTCAAAATCCCAGAAGTCCAACACAAGGACAGAATTTGAAAAGCTGTTAAGGAAGAGCAATGAATCACAGATAGCAGTAAACCTGTTACAATTGCAGCAGACTTCCCAACACAAACTTTAAAGGGCAGGGGAGCTAGGAATAAAATGTTTCAAGCCCGAAAAGAAAACTTCCAACCCACACTGATATATCCTACAAAACTATCTTTCAAAATTAATGGAAAAATAAGGTCTTTCCATGACAAAGAATGGCTTGGGAAAATTTATGCCCACCAAGTCAGCACTCCAAAAATTTCTCAGAGATATCCTAGAAAGTGATAATGGAGCCAACAGTGCCAAAAAGTTTAACAGAATCAAACCACCAGGCCTAGTAAGCAGGTAAGTAGAGGAGGATGAAAGGGAAGCAACAGGAAAATAATACAGTGACAAAAATACAGTAGTCAGTGTCTTCAGTAATAAGAATCAATGTGAATGGTCTCAGTTCCTCAATGAAAATACACAGATTGACAAAATGAATCAAAGAACAATCCTCACCAGAAACACATTAAATCCAAAAAGAAATTCATGGACTAAAAATCAAAGGATGGAAAACAATAGTCTATGCAGCAGAAACCCCAAAGCAAGCAAGAATAACCCTTCTATTTTCAGACAAAGTGGACTCAAACACAAAACTGATCAGAAGAGGCAAAGAAAGTCATTACACAGTGGTTAAGGGAACAATTCAAAGAAGAGGTAACTATTACAATAAACATAGACACACTCAACACCAGTGCACCTAGTTTCTTAAAGTTGGACATAAAAGATCACATAAATATGAACACACAGTCAGGAAACCTCAATACCTCACTGTCACAAATAGATCAACAAGTCTACACAAAATATTAAGTTGAAACAAACCTTTGTGCAAATGGATTAAATATATATCTACAGAATGTTCCACTAAATGAGAACAGAATACTGTATACATTCTTCTTAGCAGCACATGGAACTTCTCCAAAATAGACCACATACTAGCCTGCAATGCATGCTTAAAAAAGTGCAAAAGAATCAAAATTATCCCATGTATATTATCAGGTCATAGTGCAATGAAACTAGAAGTCAGCAGCATAAGAAAACACAGAAGTCATGCAATTTCATGGAGATTAAATAAGACACTTGAATAATCAATGAATCACAAAAGAAACCAAGAAATAAATTAGAAAATTTCTAAAATCAAATGTAGTGCCAGTTCAACACATTAAGGGGCACAATAAAACAGTCCTAAGAGGGAAGTTTACAGCCATGAATAGCCACATCAGAAAAACAGAAAAGAGCTCCAATACATAAGCTAACGTTATACTTCAAGGTCCTAGAAAAACAAGAACAATCCAAATCCAAATTTAGCACAAGGAAAGAAATTATAAAGATCAGAGCAGAGATTAACAGAATTGAGAAAAGAAAATACAAAGAATCAAGGAATTGAAGGCCTGGGTCTTGGGAAAAAATAAACAAAGTAGAGAAACCTTTAGTCAATCTTACCAATAAAAAGGAAAAAAGACCAAAATCAATACAATTAGAAATTAAAAAGGTGAAATCATGATGGAAAAAGCTGAAATTCAGAAGACAGTAACTTTTTTGAAAATCTGTTCTTTGGTAAGTTGGAGAATCCAGAAGAAATGGATAGATTCCTAGTTACATATGAATTATGAAATCTGAACCAAGGAGATAAAAATAAAACCTTGAATAATCCAATAACAGGCAATGAAATTGAAGCAGTACTAAAATACTTACCAACTAAGAAAACTAAGAAAAGTCCAGAACCTAACGAATTCACTGCTGAATTCTACAAGAAACTCAAGGACAATCTAATACCAATAGCTTTCAGACTCCTTAATAAAACTGAAAGAGGAAGGAGCATTCCCAAAGTCATTCCAAGTTAGTATTACCCTTATCAAAATGCTAACAACACTCCCCACTGAATAGTAATATATCACCTAAATGGAAGGGCAAAGATCATATCACTTCAGTAGACACAGAAAAACACCTTGGACAAAAATTCAACATCCATCCACGATTTAAAAAAAAAAACTTGAATAGATGTAAAATGACCTTATCTCAAGCTAATAAAAGTCATATATCAGCAATGTCACATTAAATGAGAGAAAGCTTTACCTCTAAAATTAAGACAAGGCTGTCCACTGCCACCACTCCTGCTGAATATAGTACTAAAAACATTATCAGGCAAGAGAAAAAAATAAAAGGGAATGTATAGGAAAAGAACAAGTCAGATTTTCATTATTTGCTGATGTCGTGATCCTCTATACAGAAGACCAAAAAAAATCCTTCAGGACTCCTACAATTAATTACAAAATTCAGTAATGTAGCAGTATACAAAGCCAACACATGAAAATCAATAGCGTTTCTGTACATCAATAATGAACTCGCTAAGAAAGAAATAAGAAAAACAATAATGTTCATGATAGCATCAAGAAAAACTAAATCCTTAGGAACTGACCTAACCAAGGAAGTGAAAGACATCTACAACAAAAACTACAGTACTCTGAAAATGAAGCTCAAAGAGGATATTCGAAAACAGAAAGACATCCCCTGTTCCTGGATAGGTAGAACCAATATTGTCAAAATGGTCATATTTCCTAAACTGATACACAGATTTAATGCAATCCCAATCAAATTACTAACAACATTCCCCACTGAACAGAAAATAGTATAGAGAAAGCAGTCCTAAAATTTATATGGAATTAGAAGAAACCCAGAATAGCAAAAGCAATCCTGGGCAATGAAACAAAGCAGGAAGCATTATAAACCTGGACTTCAAGTTATACTACAAAGTTTCTATGATAAAAACAGAATGATATGCCATAAAAAGACTTCAATGCCTGGTACTCTGTGATGTATGTGCTTCCAAACCTACCTTCTTTCGTTCCGTAGCTGCCTGATCACTCCATTCCTGCCTCCTTACCCAGTGATGAAGCATTTGTGTTTTCCAGAGTTTCGTCTTCGAGTCTCAGCTCTTTTATCTTTTTGTACACTCTTGTTCAGTAACTCTCCGTTCTTTTCAGCAGATACCCAAGAGCCTCGTTCATGTCAGGTAGCGTGCAAAACATTTCTTTGTTCAAGATTAAGATAGAGGGTTACTGGTAGAAACTTAATAAACTGACTTGCATTTTTCTGCAAAGGATGAACTATAGAGACCAAATGTTACAGACACGAAAGTATACAC